AGTTAGAAGTTAAGCATCTGGCAGAAAATGAGAAATAGCCAAAATATCCAGCAGTAAGGGAATGAGTAAATAATGTTTGACATGCATATAATGGAATATTATGTATCCACTAAGATCAGCAATAGAGGGAGGGTCTCAAGATAGTGGTTTAGCATGAGGCAGCATTTCTCTTAGCTTGGCTACTCCAAACTCAAGGTCTAGGGTGAAAATTCCTGATTCTGGAGGGTCAGTTTATCAGCTGAACCAGAGACTATTTGACTCCTGAATCTGATATATTTAAAAAAGGGAAAACCCCTCTCCATTGGTCCATGATCCAGGAGCAATTTTGGGATTGCAGTGTGGTCAAGCCTAAGGAAACTGGAAACCCAGTTACATGAATTTGCCTTTCCCCAGGGGAATACAGGTTAGAGGTGGGAGAGAGCCAGACTCTCCCCAGCTCTGTGCCCAGCTCATGGGGTCTGTCAGGACTGGTTACAGCAGGTTGGAGCCTGAAAGTTGGAAGAGTGTGTGAAGGCATTGTGCCCTCAGCTCAGCCAGCCAGCCCATCCAGTACTTACAGGGCTCCTGGGGCCTGCCCTCACCCCCCAGGGTCCTGAGTCCCACCAGGTTCAGCATCAGTCCAGCACCCAATAGGGCCATCTGACTCCCTAGACCACAATCCCTCCTGGACTCCTGACTTGGCCCATTGCTCACAGCTTCTTGGCTGGCCCACAGATAAAAATTCACAGCCTTGATCCACTGGCACTGAACAGCTGAATCCCCAATGTGACCAGGCCCCAAATTTCTCCATACCCTGAATAGCTGTCAGACCTTTTCAGCCCAGTGCATTTCTCACCTGCAACTGTAGGTCCCAGCACTTGCCAGCAGGTTCCCCAGTGCCTGACCTTATCCACCCATGCAGAACAGCTGGGCCCCATGAGGCCCAACTTGCACCACACACTGCTTTGCTACTGGACCCGCCCGCTTCAGTGCACAGCTTTACAACTGCCTCGTAGGTCCAGGCCAGACTTGATCCTCCCTGTATCAAAATGATACTCTGATCAGCTGGATCCCTGACGTAGCCGGCCCCAACTTGCATCACAAGCCACTTGGCTGGGGAACTCACCAAGTATAGCATTCAGCTTCTTAGCTGCCCTCCAATCCTTGCGCCAGCCTGCAGGTTCCTGCACCTGGACTTGATTCACCCACGCAGAATAGATAACAACCCCACCTAATGCTGAGAAGGGAAGCTAAAACTGAGACTGGGTTATGATTGACCTGGGAGTGAGCTCTATGGACCCCAATTTTTTATCTTTAAAAATATTTCCTGTGAGCAGATAGTGTTCTAGTTTATGGGGATAGAGCATTGAGCAATTCATAAAAGCCCCTTCTTTTCTGGATCTTAGCTTCAAGATACCTGCTTTTGCCAGGGATGATTTTGTCTATAAATATCGTTTTTCTCAAGCAGACATTGAAAGGTTGCTAGATAGACACTCTTTTTTGATGAAAATGTGATTAAAGCTATCTCCCATTATTCTATGACGAAAAGACCCAAGATTGCTGACATCGGATACCAGAATTTTAATTTCAGTTTTGATATAAGCTTACACCTTTACAGTGAAACCAGAAATTACATAATTTAGAAAATGTCCTTAGTATGCCACAGCTGAATTCTTTTATCTTTTCCAGAGATATGGAAATTTGTCATGCACTTGCTTTTTAATTCTGAATATCACAGGATATCTGAAGGTTCTAAAAGAGAGGTGATACCTTTTGATATTCAGATTAAGAAGCTCCATGTTAGACCAGATTCAGCTTTTAATCTAAAAGGAAACACTTTGTACTTAATAGAATGAATCCAACTTTTATGTGGAGGCTGATTTTTATGCGAAATCCACAAATCTCCCATATGTGTTTTGAGGGTAAGATCAAACAAAAGTTACTATGGCTAGTAGTAACCTGGTGGTAAAAAGGCAACTAGAAGACTTGTGCAATGTCAAATGTCTTCTGTGGTTATCTGATGCATGAGTTTACTCTCTTACTGTTGAAGTAAATAATTAGTTTGCTACATTGTCTCTAACCCATTTCTTTTTAATGAAATCACTTTGTTACAAATTGAAAAATATTAAACATGATGTTGATGGATTATATACTTGCATTTATTCAACTTTTATAAACCAAAAATATGTATCTTCTAATTGAGGAAGTGTTATTTTTGCTTATCTCCTTCTTATAAGACTTAATACATGAAACAATATCAGAACTAAAATCAGCTCCTGAAAGCAAGAAAGTTTGGAGACATCTTAAGAACTTTCACAGTTTAAGCTGGCTGCCAAAACTTACAGATAGACTCATTTGAATGAAAAACACATACAAACAAAAAATCATTACCTCTCCTACAGTTGGTTATTTTTCTTGCATGGATTTTATAGTGCTCTGTCAGTATACTTCTAGGAATCAATTGGTTAGCTAAAAATTATACGGGTTAACCATGAATTTTGTTTAAAAAATCAGTCATACTAATTAACTTGATGAATAACTGAAATTTGTTAATCAAGCACTTTAAATACACATACACACATAGTTCATATATCAGATGTTCTATTTTAACACACAACATGGAAAAGTAATTACAGCAGATGATCCTAAACATTTGTCTTCCTTAGAAGACCATCTGACTTAATGACTCACCTCATAATTTTAAATTGCTCCTTTCTATTTTTATGATAAAAATTAGTGTCTAAAATTTTAATAAACTGGAAAAAATGGAGGCTGACCTTTATGCAGTTTAGACAATACTCTTCCCTAGAATTTTACAAGTAGTTAGCTATGTATAAACGTGGATATTAATGCATATGTCTATTGCAATACAAATAGTGTTCAGATTTGTATATGCCTCACCTTGAAAGTTATCAGTGTGTACCGTGAAGGGTAGAGCAGCAGCCTGGCAAAGTGAGACCAAGGTCGGGAAGAACCCACATTCCTTTAAGAGTGACAAAAATAAATTCCTTATAGAAAAAAGAGGAAGGTGGAGGGATTAAAGAAGTCCTCAAAGGCACTCATGTTACACTACTCACCACAGCCAAGAAGTGGGAGCAAACCATATGTCCATATGACTTGGTGTGTGTTTGTTGTAGTTTTGTTCATTTAGAGTCCTGTAAACATCTTGTATCTGATTTTCCATTTCATTTTTTAGGTTTGGGAAATTTTCTGATTTTTTTTTTCATTGAAAAGATTGTGCATTCCTTGGATTTGTATCTCTGCACCTTCATCCATCCCATTAAATCTTAATTTTGGTCTTTTCATGTTGTCCCATATTTTTCAGAAGTTCTTTTCATGGTTTCTTAATATCTTTTCTGTGTGGTCACGTTTATTTTCAAGTTTATATATTTTGTCTTCATTGCCTGACGTTCTGTCTTCCAAGTGGTCTAATCTGTTGGTGATGTTTTCCATTGACTTTTTAATTTTGTTTATTTTTTTCCTTCATTTTGAGTATTTCTGCCTGATTTCTTTTCAGAATCTCTATCTCTTAACTTAAGTGATCTTTTTACCTCTTGAATTTTCTCTCTCATTTCACTCCTTACATTTTTCTTTACCTCACAGATCAGTTTAACTATGTACAACTATGTACAACTTCTCTGAGATTTCTTTAACTGTGGGATCGATCATTGGATTCTATTGTTGGTGCATCTTGGTTTGTTGGGGGCAATTTGTTCTCTTGGTTTTTTTCATGCTGCTTGTGTCTAACCATCCAGCAGTGTTGATCTGAAGCAGTAAAGTTTCTACCCTGTGGACTTTGAGTATCGCTGAAGGTTTCCAGTACTTGCCTTTAAGGAGGAGACAATAATAACAGAGACCAATGCAAACAATATATAGCCTTAAACCAAGTAGCCCCTATACAATGTCTATGATATTGTTGCAATAAACAGAAATGATGTGTTCAGTTATTGCCTACACTAAAAATAGTAAGTTTGCAAAAGGGTTTTCAATTTCAGATGGTGGACAAAGAGAGAACAGGAGTGATGTAGAATGTGATGTTTATTAGGAAGGAGGAGAGAAGATAGAATTAAAAAAATATATAAGAAAAGTGAAAAGGGGAAAAAAATCAAAGCTAATTGTTAGGAGAAAAGAGAGAAAGGGCATCAAGGGAAACAGATGAGAGGGAAAAAACCATATATAATAAATATTTTTTTAAAAATTAAAAGTAGAAAGAGAAAGGTATAAAAGAAAGAATTCAAAGCAAAACTGAAATATACTATTCAGACAGCCCAGTCCTCAATAAACTGATGCATGAAAAATGGTTGCTTTAAAAAATGGTAGAAATGTGAGAGGAAAAAAAGAAAAGAAGACATAATTTTTAAAAAATCTTGATGAAATATTGAATAATGTTTCCATTGAAGTTCAAAAGTTCAAAAGCTTATATCAAAACTGAAATTAAAATTCTGGTATCCGATGTCAGCAATCTTGGGTCCTTTCGTCATAGAATAATGGGAGATAGCTTTAATCACATTTTCATCAAAAAAGAGTGTCTATCTAGCAACCTTTCAATGTCTGCTTGAGAAAAACGATATTTATAGACAAAATCATCCCTGGCAAAAGCAGGTATCTTGAAGTTAAGATCCAGAAAAGAAGGGGCTTTTATGAATTGCTCAATGCTCTATCCTCATAAACTAGAACACTATCTGCTCACAGGAAATATTTTTAAAGACAAAAAATTGGGATCCATAGAGCTCACTCCCAGGTCAATCATAACCCAGTCTCAGTTTTAGTTCCCATGCAACTCAAATCTGTCCATAGCTTTGCATATGTACAACTACCTATAAAAACAGCCTCCTCTCTACCTGGTGTCCTTGCTTCCACTCTGTTTTTTTCTATGGTGGACAGATATAAAAGATGTCTATGTCCTCATCTCCAGAATCTGTGTATAAGTTACTCTTATGATAAAGAGGTATTAAGGTTGTGGGTGGAATTAGTGGTGCTCATCAGCTGGTCGTGAAATGGGGGAGATTATTTTGTATTACCTGGACAAGCCCAATGCAACCTCAAGTGTCCTTGCAGAACATGGATGCAGAAGAATTAGTTTCCAAGTATGTGAGAAAGACTTGTCCAACCAGGTCTGGCTTTGAAGATGTGAGGGGGCCTTGAGCCAAGGAATGTGAGTAGCCTCTCGAATCTGGAAAATACAAGAAAATTGTTTCCTATCCTAAAGACTCCAGAAAGGAAAGCACCAACCTGCTACTTATTTGGGCCAGTGAGACCCGTGATGAAATTTTGAAGAACAGAATCTTACAATAATAAATTTATATGGCTTACGCCAACATGTTTGTGGTAATTTGTTACAGCAGCCATAGAACACTAAGATAGCCTCTAAATGGATCTTGTCAGCAATAGCTCCCCATCCAGAACTCTTTGTAAAACACTTGAATGATTTTTCTAACCCTCTTGATAAAAAGACCACATTCTGTTATGAGCCCTCCCTGGCTGCCCTTCCCTGACTCTCTGGTCTTCTTCCAAGCTTACACCAGCCTTTTGGATGCCATATGGTACCTTCTAACACAGGATCTGTTGTACTTTCCTCTTCAATTTGCTGGTTCCGGCTCTCCCTTCAAACCTCAGCTGAAAAGTCATTTTCTCAAGGTGTCTCTGACCTCCACAACCAGGTCAGCTTTTAATTAGCTGCTGTGATAACTCTGGACAGTGAGCTTCTCAGATGTGTAATTAGCAAAGGTGAGATTTCACTTTTGTTCCTGTGATTCCTTGATAAAGTCTGTAATCTTGGTGGAACCCTTCTTCTTCTCTCATCATATTTCCCATGCTTATCATGATAACTGACACACAGTGGGCTCAATACCGATTTTTTTTTTTTTTTTTTGAGTGAATGGGAGAAGCTGGATTTCTAATAGTCTGTGTCTCTGGGTTGTTTTGGGTTAGCCCCTTAGAGATTTCCGCCTCAATGAAAAGCATTTCAATGTTACTCTTTTATCAAAGGATACTGAAGAAAATAGTCCCATGAAATCTGTTAGCTGTATTTCCTGTAGGCTTTTGGTGAGATTTTTTTTCCCTCATTATATTACTCATTTTTCTTTATACCATGTAATGAAAAATAATTTATTTTTCATCCTGTTTTGGAATAACTTTACTTTCCCAGAGTAATCTGTTTTTGTTTTGTAGTGGACACGAGGGGAGCTGCCCAAATCCATGACCTTCAGGACCAAAGCACACATAACCCAGCTCCTGGGAGAATTGATAGCTGATGGCTTGCAGCTAAGGCCCAGTTTCTACCCCGCCTTCCTTTCCCCTCTGTTGAGGGAATCCACCTGGCCCAACACAACCCCTAGCAGAACAGCCTGCATCCACAGAGGGCTCAAGCTCTCTGTGGTGGGTGAGGAGTAGAAAGGCTGTGTTAACCAAAGGAACAACTCTGCAGAACTGTCCCAAGTACAGCTCTAGCCACAGGGAGCCTTTGTTTTCTCTCCTCATAGCCCAATTTACCTCTGTCAGGCTGTTCTTGCTGCACAATAGGTGCTAATCCTGAGAGAAGGAAACTTCCCCAATCAAATCTCTGCCTCTGCATTTTCTTCCTGGAGTGCATGACTTAGGATCCCTTCCTTCTCCAAAATGAGAACTGTGTGATCATATCCCCTGATCACATCCCACCTGGAGGCTAAGAAACCCAGTTAAAGAAGCTTAAATTGCTTACATGATCTACTTATTCATAGGTTTGGGCTAACTTAGCTATTTGCATACCTGACTGTCCAAATGATTTCTCTTTTTTTTTTTCACATTATAACATCATTTTACCATATTCTGACTTTAATGTGCCTCAGATTCTTTGCAGAAGAAGACAATTTCAATGAGCAAATAAACCAAATAAATAGGAATATAGTCTGTTTGGAAGATAAAAATAAACCTAAAAATATAGAGATTTAGGTGTACTTAAGAGGTATTGAATTTTTTTGCACTAAGAGCGGATAGATGTGCTCCACTATTAAGCATTTCAGTTGATTTTCCTGCCCCTGGGGTACAACCATGACTACTTGAAGTAAAAGCCAAACAGATAGAAAAGATGTGCATGCACTCATATTTTCCTTTGAATTTACTTCCTAAGAAGCAAGCTAGAGGAATAGAAGAGCTTACTGTGAAATGGGAAATTCAGGAGGCAGATGGTCCATGGATTAGTCAATCCTCCACATCTTCCCTCTTAGACAATTGTCAGAAAATTGCTTTCATCAGGATGGCCTGATTCCCTGCCACTTCAAGCCATTCATCTCCGGAGAAATGAAGCAGTGTGCAGTCTAAATTGCTCCTATAAAGCGGACATGACTCTTCTTCTCAGTTCCTCATTTTTCAAACTCTTGTAACCAAAGTTACCAGACACAAAAATAGCCTGAGGATTAGATAACAGAACGTTTCAGTTATTCAATTCATTTACATGACTCTCATACGTTTATCACTTTTGGCAAGCAGAAAACAAAGCTTTGGACACTGTGTTTTGCTGGGATAAGTGAATTATAGGGCCTGCTAACATTCCTGATAAACTGCTTCTTGATCCCATATCAAAGATATTTATGTTTTCTGATTCTATTTTCTCTTTGAAATTTCATTTCAAAAAATGAGATCAGAAATATGAACTTCCTTGATAATGGCAAGGGAAATGCCAGGATCTCTTCTCTTTTTGCAGTTAAGGTCTTTGAGAACACTAAATCCCTAGATAAGAGAAGTCTTTATGTAACCAGAGGCATATTTATTTAATATCATGCATTTCCCACCAACAGAAAACTTCTTGCAGCCAGGAGTCCTTAGATTTAATGTAGTCTTCAGAGACCATAATAACCCACATTTACCTGAGTAATATGTAATGTTCTTGCAGAGATAGAGATTCTAGAGGTTCATTCAACACTTTACTTACCTGTTTAGTACTCTGTATTATGAATACAAACTAAGATCCTTTTATAAAAACAATAGGAGATATGGTTAAAATCTGTTTTAAGTTGATTCCCAAGTATTTTATTTTTTTGAGGTTATTATAAATGGGGTAGTTTTCCTCATTTCCTTCTCAGAGGATTTGTCACTGATATACAGAAATGCCTTTGATTTATGGGTGTTGATTTTATATCCTGCTATTTGCTGAATTCATTTACTAGTTCTAGAAGTTTTCTAGTGGAGCTTTTTGGGTCTTCTGGGTATAAAATCATATAGTCAACAAATAGTGATAATTTAAGTTCTTCTTTTCCTTTACATATCCCTTTAATTTCTTTCATCTGTCTAATTACTCTGGCCAGTGTTTCAAGAACTATGTTAAATAGAAGTGGTGGAAGACAGCATCCCTGTCTTGTTTCAGTTTTTAGAGGGAATGCCTTTAATTTTTCTCCATTTAGAAAGATGTTGGCCTGAGACTTAGCATAGATAGCCTTTATGATATTGAGATATGTTCCTGTTATCCCTAGTTTTTCTGGTGTTTCGAACATGTAAAGGTGCTGTATTTTGTCAAATGCTTTCTCTGTATCTATTGAGATGATCATATGATTCTTATCTTTGAGTCTATTGATGTGGTGAATTACGTTTATTGATTTACATATGTTGAAAAAACTTGCATCCCTGGGATGAATCCCACTTGATAATGGTGTACTATCTTTTTGATATGTTTTCTTATTCCATTTGCCAGAATTTTATTGAGAATTTTTGCATTCAATGAAAACTACAGAACCCTAAAGAAAGAAATCAAAGAAGGACTTAGAAGATGGAAAGATCTACCTTGCTCTTGGACAGGCAGAATTAATATTATTAAAATGACCATACTACTAAAAGCACTATACAGATTTAACGCAATTCTGATCAAAATCTCAATGGCATTCCTCATAGAAATAGAAAACGCAATCATAAAATTCATCTGGAAAAATAAGAGATCCAGAATAGCTAAAGCAATTCTTAGCAGGAAGAGTGAAGCAGGTGGCATCACTATACCAGAACTTAAACTATACTACAGAGAAATACTAACAAAAACAGCATGGTATTGGCACCAAAACAGATTGGTACACCAATGGTACAGAATAGAGGACACAGAAACTAACCCACAAAACTACAATTATCTTCAACTAGACAAAAGTGCCAAAAACATGCATTGGAGAAAAGATAGCATCTTCAACAAATGATGCTGGGAAAATTGGAAATCCATATGCAACTATCTCTCATCATGCACAAAACTCAAGTCAAAGTGGATCAAGGACCTAGAAATTAAACCAGAAATTCTGTGTCTAATAGAAGAAAAAGTAGATCCTAATCTTCATCATGTGGAACTAGGCTCCAACTTCCTTAATAAGACTCCTATAGTGCAAGAATTAAATCCAAGAATCAATAAGTGGTATGGATTCAAATTAAAAAGTTTTTTCTCAGCCAAAGAAACAATCTGTGAGGTGAACAGAGAGCCTACAACTTGGGAGCAATTTTTTACCCTTCACACATCATATAGAGCACAAATATCAAGGGTATATAAAGAACTCAAAAAGCTAAGACCAAATATCCTAATCAATAAATGGGCCAGGGACCTGAACAGACACTTCTTGGAAGAGGGCATACACAATCAATCAACAAATATATGAAAAAATGTTCATCATGTCTAGCAATTAGAGAAATGCAAATCAAAACTACTCTAAGATATCATCTCACTCCAGTCAGAATGGCAGCTATTATGAAGACAGATAACAATAAGTGTTGGCAAGAATGTGGGGTAAGAAGGCCCACTCATACATTGCTGGTGGGACTGCAAATTGGTGCAGGCATTATGGAAAGTAGTATAGACATTCTTTGGAAATCTGGGAATTTGACCCCACTATCTCTCTCCTTGGTCTATACCCAAAGGACTTAAAAACAGCATACTACATGGACACAGCCACATCAATGTTTATAGCAGCACAATTCACAATAGCTAAACTGTGGAGCCAACCTAGATG